CTTTCAAGAGTTTAGAAGGTTCTGATACTCAGTTTTCAAAGAATCAGGTGCTTCCCCACCTCTACGTTGTTGCCATGTGGAAGGAGACAACAAAATCAAGATGGAATTTTCCAGTTTGTAGCTTAAACTTCCTTGCACAACCCTTAAACCTGAGGCTGCAAACTGGTGGCCCTCAGGCCAGAGATATTTTGTCTGATCTGACAGTGATTCTATAAAATCTCAGTTATTTGCCAGAATTTTTGATTGATTGATTGATTATTTGAAAGAGAGCGGGGGCGGGGGGAAGAGGGACAGAATCTCCAGCAGACTCCCTGCTGAGCATGGAGCCTGATGTGGGGCTTGATCTCATGACTCCGAGACCATGACCTTGAGCTAAAATCAAGAGCTGGACACTTAACCACACTTAACCAACTGAGCCACCCAGGCGCCCCATTTGCCAGAATTTATAGCTGAAGTGATCTCATATAAAAATCTTGATTTCTGACTTTTCTGGAAAATGGAAAGGTCTGGCAACACCTGGTCCATATAATTGCCAGTCCCTGGCTGAAAGAACAGAGTACTTACTTTCTTCCTCATTATCTCTGTTGGAAGGTAGATCAAGCCACTGTAAACGTTTCTACCCTAAGGGAGGTTTGGGTCTCTTGATTGCTCAGTCTGGTGGGATTCACACTCCATTCTAGGGCTGCTCCATGAATAATAACACCTTGTCTCTGGGTCATGATAAATTTTTAGCCTACAACTGTCCAGAGCTTTGTGATTGCTTTATTTGGAAAGTGCATCATTGGTCCCAGAAATCTCTTCACTGGGTGGTGGCTCCTTGCCCTTCTTAGAAGGCTTTATGGCTCCAGACCTCTAAAAATTCTGCCTTCACTCCTATTTGGTTCATCTACAGCATGGTCAGTGGAACTTTTTAAGACTAATTCTCTTGGAGGAAAAGCTTGGCTTTACTTGACCATCTAAGCTAGTAGCTGGGTCTATTGTTCCAATGGCAGCCACCATCATCCTGAGCCATTCTGTCTCAGGTTAACTCCTGCTGATGACATTTGTCCATCCAAATGACTAGATTTTCTATGATGGCTTCCCCCAGGTTGCCTCATAGAGAGAACTTTTAGAATCCTATCACTTTCTGAATACTAGTGAATGATTATGTGCATTGTAAACATAATAGTTCCCCACAACAGCAAGGAAGATCCTCCCCCACCCCTTTTTAAAAAATGGAATCACAGAAAAGGTGATTTTCAAAGGTAGATATAATATGAAATGGGATGGAAAGCAAATGTTTTGGAAGCCAAATTGAGTAAAAAAGATTTCAACAGTTGGGGATGACTTGCTAAAAGAAATAAAATGGATTTTGAAGGATAAATGTGTAGTCTTGAACTGCAGTTAAAGAAATTGTATCTTCAAGCTCAAGGTTGGAGATACGTGCCTTAACTGTGGTTCATGCTTGGACATTGAGGATTCTATTTGACTGAGGAGGACCATCGTGACCTGAGTGCTAAGAAGTGATGGGCCCTTAGATGTGTTCATCGAGCCCTGACAGCCTGTGAGCCTAAGGCATTGTGCTGTGTTTGACTGGCATACTGATTTGGAAAAATTTGCAATGGAATCCCTTCGGGGGAGGCATGTACTCTCTGGTTTTATTCATTTATGGTACACCCCCAATTCTTAAGGTTTTTGTGTTTATGGATGGTCCTCCTTCCCCCCTCCTTTATAGTAGCACTCTTCTGGGGGCACTGGGATCCATTTCGAGCCCACACATTGAGGGAGAATTAACAAAGGAAGGGGATCAAGAAGAGGATGATATAGATAGGAAAGGAATCAGACACCAGTTTCTGTCATAATCACTGAGAGAACCACAGCTCTCTACCTGGTCCAGTACCTGAAGGACTGTCATGTGGAAGAGGAGTTAGGTTCAGTCCTTCTCATGGAACAATTATAGACTACACACCTTCAGTCACCAAGCTGAGAGAATACAGAGAGGAGCAAGTTGGTCTCTGTCTTCGAGGCCGAGTTTACCCCAGAGCAGAGGGGACCCACAGAGATGGCTGTAAAACACACAGTCTCTGTGGTTCTCCAGAAGACAGAAAGGGAGAGGCCAATTTCAGCTTGGCTTAGAAAGGCCTTTCCTCACAATTAAAGCCCTCCCCCAATGGAATGGGCTGCCTTAAAAACTTGCCAGCAGTCGTATTTCCAACTGTTGAAGACAAGCTACAGGAGTTTGGAATGAGGGTTGCAGTAGATGACTTTTCTCCCTCTGTTAGTGTCTGGTCCCAAGACCACCGACCTGCTTTCCTGTACTTACCCAGAGAGAGTGGTCACCATGTGAAATGCTTGTGGGTTGTACTCAGCATTTTGGGCAGACCACACGGGGAAGGGTGTTGGTTTGCAGGGTTTCCAAGTGTGGAATTGCACTGATGTGTCGTCTGTCTTCTGGAGACGCCAGCGTCGGCAGGCAGGGCCCAGCTGTAGTTTTTATTCACGGACCTGGGAGAAGAAGCAAGGGGCGTATTTGGCAGGTACAGTCTTGTTTCTGGTTGCTTCTTTTGTGTGTTGACTGCATCTGGCTCTGAGGATCATGTCATTACCTGTGAGTGGGGCAGCACTTCCTTTCCTGGGACAAGTATTTTGAGGGAAGCCTATTTCCTATGCCCGCCAGGAACCCAAATAACATCATATCCAGCAATTAGCTGCCAAAATAAGAGATTCCTAATTCTTCCCCTTTGATAGCAGAACTTTAAAGTAATTCAGATTTCTGTCGTGTCCCTTAGAGATCCCTCAGCCTTAGAAAATGTGTCACCTTTGGCTCCATGCAGAGACTAAACTGAGCAGAGGCAGCATCTCTTCACGGCCTTCAAGGCAGAATGTTCTGGCAGCGTCCTTCTTGTCCTGTCCTCTCTCTGCTACCACATGGCCACTGTCATCAGCTCTTGCGTCCTCACTGTTTATATAATGTGATTGTAAGGAAAGCAGACAAGGCCTCTTTCTTGGCAACTACATTTTAAGGTTCAGAGAGGCAGATGTTATCTGGATTTGGCATTTCTTTCCAATTCTTGCATGCTTAACCCCGGTTTAGTTCTTTGGGACATTTCCCCCTACCCACAGATATGTCAGAAATCACCTGGAGGATGTGGAGACGAAGTGTAGTAAGTTGAAGTGAGCAGAACTGCCACCTAGTTCCCCAAACTGCTATCATTGCTCCCTGCAAGGGAGACAGGCAGTTCTTTCTAAAATGCTTGGAGCCAGAATTCAATGTGAAACCCCACAGCTGCTGTGGCTTTGGGACGTGTGGACAAGTCAGTCATCCTGGCAGACACCCTTCCCCTGCAGGGTTCTCTCCCCTGGAGAAGTGGAGGGGAGCCAGCCCCAGGGTTTCCCCACACCCTCAGCTGGAGTGGGCCGACCGGCCAAGCTACCTGCCTCCTACACCGGGACCCGTGGAGTCTCTAGAGTAACAGAGGCAGAGGGCGGAGGTTCTCAGCCCTGACAGCAAGTTAATTACACCTGGAGGCTTGGCGGTAGGGGAAACAGTGCATGGACCCCATGACTCCCCAGAGTTAATTTTGTAAAGCAGCTTTACAAATTCCACATACCGAACAGTTCACGCATTTGGAGTATACAAATAAATGGTTTCTAGTATATTCAGAAGGTTGTACGACCATTCCCACAATTTTAGGACATTTTCAGCAGTCACTCTCCCATTCCCCCCAACTTCCCCAGGCCTAGGCAGCCAGTTACCGATGCACTTTCTGTCTCTACAGAATTTGCCTGTTCTGGACATTCTGTTTAAATGGAATCACACAGTAGGTGTGTCCTTTGTGGCTGGCTTCCTCACTTAGCCTGGTTTCAGGGTTTGTCCACATTATCGTGTATCAGTACTTCTACCTTTTTATTGCTAAATAATGCTCCCTTTTATGAAGATACTATAATTCGTTCATCCGTTCATCAGCTGATGGACGTTTGGGTTGATTCCACTTTTCGGCTATTATGGGTAATGCTGCTAATAAACGATGTGTACAAGTTTATCTGTAGATACATGTTTTCATTTGTCCTGGGAATATACCTAGAAGTAGAATTTCTGGGTCATACTGTAACTTTAGGTCTAATCTTTTGAGGAGCTGCCAGACATTTTCCAAAGCAGCTGCACCATTTTACAGAGGCATTTCATAAAAGCTCCCTGTGCTGATTCTAGATGTGATTATAACGTGCTTCCCATGTAGATAAGAATCCTTACTCTGCCTCATTTGGAAGTAAAAGCACAGCAGAATAGATACCAGCTTTTACCTAAAGGAGAGAATAGTTTTCGAGTCTTCACGTCTTCCAGGTTGTTCTTTTCAGCATTCCACAGCCCTCAGCTCTCGCTGGCAGCCCAAGATGAACCTGAGCCCCAACTAGAGGACTAGCCAGTCTAATGCTGGGTAGGATTATCCAGCGTCCGCTGACGCCAGGGGTTGCCTGCAAAGAGTGAAGTTGATCTGGAAAGCTGATCTGTAGGTTAAGTGCAGCAGGGCCACAGATGTGTGATCCCCACTTCTGAGAATGTGACATTTCTTCTTTGTCATCACTTTCTTGGTGCTATCTGGTAAAAACTGAGTCATGATGTGCCGACAAAAATCCATTGCACTTAATGTGGAACTTGAGGTATCTACTCATTCCTGAGATATTCCCAGCTGTCAGTCCTGCTGGCTAGATGGTAAACAACTTGCTGGGGATGAAATCCTGCCACTGTGACTTTTCCCAGCTTGTCTGAGAGGTGCAGACCCAGACGGCCGGCCTGTGAGAACCTGAGCATGAGGGAGGGCTTCGTGGTGGTGACTCCAGGGTTGAGCGGCCCCGCCCTTCACAGAGGCCTGTTTCCAGAGTAGCCCCAGTGGAGGGATGCAAAAGCCAACTGTCCTTGTCCTGTGAGCTTTTTAAAAACCTTCCTTCTGCTGCAGATGCGCATTTTCAGATGGCACCTGTGGACCGACCTGAGCCTTGTTGTCCTTTCTTTGTGTTCGCAGCCACGGCACAGGGTATGAGAGTGATAACCACACAACACCCATCCTCTGCGGCGCCCAGTACAGAATACACACCCACGGCGTCTTCAGGGGCATTCAGGTGAGAACTCGGGGTGGCCTCGCTGGAAGGGGACTTCTCTGCCTCTTTCCCTTCTCAACAGCCTTTCTTTTCCCTGCCGATGGCCATCTGGCCATGGTAAGTCTGGTCCTAATTACAGGCTCCTTTGACAATAGGGACCTCTCCACTTCCACTAGGGCAGAGAGGACAGCCTCCTCTCTACAGGTCCTTGTGACCACGGCCTCGTCCCTGACTCAGGCCAAGATGCTTCTGGCAGAACCCCATCCCTCTCCCCTTGACTGGTTAATTCACCTTTCCAGGTGGGCTGTGCAGCTCTTGCAACAAATGACCTGGACCCTTGGCTTCCAAGTCAGACCCTTGACTTGGTCTGCATTGTCCAGTGCCCGAAGTTGACTCTTCTCTTGCCAAGTGTTCTACTAATAACAGTAAATAATGACAATAACAGCACCACCATGTGGGTGCTGGACACGTTCTATATGCCAGGCAGTGTGCTGAATTTTATATACGGGCTTTTTGTCTTCAAAGACTTGATTTTTTAGAGCAGTTTTAGGTTTAAGGAAAAATTGTGCAGAAAGTACAAAGAGTTCCCGTATCCTCCCTCTTCCCCCTCCTCCCTATTATTAACATCTTGCCTCAGTATGATACACTTGTTACAGTTGATGAGCCAGTATTGATGCATTATTATTTTTTTGAAACATTATTGTTAACAAAAGTCCATAGTTTACATCAGGGTTGGCTTTTTGTGCCATGGGGTTCCACGGGTTTTCTTAAATGCATAATGCCACGCATTTACCATTACATTATAGTACAGAATAGTTTCACTGTCTAAAAATAAAAATGCCTATGTTCCACCTATTCATCTCTCCCCTCTTTCTCTCCTCCCCCTGACAACCACTGATCTTTTTACCGTCTCTATAGTTTTGCCTTTTTCCAGAATGTCGTACGGTTGGAATCATACAGTATGTAGCTTCTTCAGACTGACCTCTGTCACTTAGCAATATGCATTTAAGGTTCTTCCTTGTCTGTATTTTATTTTTCCATTTAGTCCTCAATGCACCTTTATAGGTGGGTACCGTTACGTCCATTTTACGGATGAGGAAACTGAAGTCCAGAGAAGATGAGTGACTTGTCCACAGTCACATAGCTAGTCATGACATGAGTCTTGTCTGATTCCGGGACCCCTGTTTTTAAGCACTGTGTTGCATTGCTTCTTAGGGAGACAGAGGGCCATGAACAGTTTGTGGGGGGAGGGGCCTCCAAGGAGAGTGAGGGAAGTAAAGTAAAAAGGTAAACGTTTTGGAGAATTCGGGAAAGTCCATGGCAGGCCACCTCAGCAAAGCCTCTTTGGGGAGGTCAGAACCGCACAGGTTACCAAGGGTCTGCATTTGTGACTTTCACTTATGAGTGACAGCGGTGATACTTTCACGAGAATAGTCAGTATTCTAGAAGTAAGTTGTGTGCGAGTCAGGTCCCCACATGAGGTGTGGTGCAGGTAGCTCTGAGATGTTCTGGTTGATGTTTCCAGGAGCATCATGGTGATAGAATAACGTGCTCCCTCTGCCCAAACCTTCCAAGGGTGACAATAAAGGTGAGGGTGACAAAGCCGAAGTCCGATGGAGGTACAGGAAGTCATCCCAGTCTCTCCTCCTGGCATCCTCCACCAGGGTCCTTGACTGACCTTGACAACGCGACTTTTTATCCTGTTGCTGTGTGTGCTGCATCTCGATTGAACCAAAGGAAATGAAGAAGCCCCTTTTGCCTTCCTTTCCACAAAGCCCGGTTTGTGAGACTCACTGTCACAGCTGCTGATAGACTCCAGACCTCTACAGGTGTTGTTTCACCACCGACTCGTTTTCTCCTAGAGTCTGATAGTCAGACGCAGCTGGCTCGCCATTTAAATTTACGTCACCCTTTGACCTCGAGACCCTGTGGCCTATCAACAGCAAATTTGTATGTCACCACAGTACTTCTCCTTCAAAAAAGGTCTCACAGTGCAAGGCAGTGAGAAATAGAATCTAGCCTATAAGCATGGTGTGAAAGATGCACAGAGCACAGGATGGGTTAAGCTCAGAGGCAGTTCTGGGTCTTAACACAAAGCATGGATGTGCACTTTGGTCTTGACTTGCACATCTGTAAGAGAATGAGGAGGATTCAGTGGCCCCTGGGGCACTCCCACTTCTCCTGTCCATGAGTCATTGATCCTGAGAGCCGGAAGGGGAATTTGTTTCTGTGTCCCCTTAGCACCTTGTCATAGAGAACTGACCATACACGTACCCACTCCCACAAGGTGAAGGGAATCAACAGTGAAGGACATAGAAAGTGTCCGGAAGGCAGACACAGTGTTTTCTGGTCTCACTATTAAGTGATTACACTGGCTACGCTATTGGACTCTGGTGGTTTCAGCCCCTTCACAGAGAGAACCCCCAATTCTCAGGGGCTCTTCCTTCCTTGTCACTTACTCCCACCTGGAAAGCCTGGTCAGTTTGGGGTTCATTCAGTATCCCGTGTTTTTCTCTTAATAAGGACTCCCCCATACATGGCAGACTGGGCCTGAGGTCATGTGGCCGTGTGTCCAAGTGGGAGGAAATAGATCCTGGGACTTTGGACTTCCAGACCTCACTGCCTCAAGTGGAAAAGCTGAGAGACAGGATGGATTGGGAGCTCTTGCAGTCACCAGCATTTCTTTTCTAGATCGTCTGGATCAGCAACCCCAAACAAACTTCAGTGAAGTACCAGTTCTGGTTGATCAGTAGTAATGATGTTGGCGTGATGCACTGTAGCATGTCCTGATCTGTCATCCATTAGTGATGTCTGCTGTGGGCATCTGGGGTATGGATTGGAGTGGTTTTAGGTCTTATATCTGTCATCCCTTCTTTGGGTATTTTCTAAAGCTCACTTCCCCTCAGGACTGACATGAATATTCACATGTGGCTTAAAGCCTCCATTTCTCTTACACTCTGCTCGTAGGATGTGCGACGTGTGCCCGGAGTTGCCCCGACTCTTGTCCGGTCAGCATCTGAGACCAGTGAGAAACGCCCCTTCATGTGTGCTTACCCGGGCTGCAATAAGAGATATTTTAAGCTGTCACACTTACAGATGCATAGCCGGAAGCACACTGGTAAGTGTGTCCCCTGTCCAGCCTTGTTTCCCGTGGCCTATGGGCAAGGGTAGTTCAAGAGCTCCTGTTCCTGCCTGGTCCCACTGCTAAGGACACAGGAAATTTCTTGGATTGACAGTAGGCAATGCTTTGAAAGGTCTGGCCAAGGTGTTAAAAAAAAAAAAAAAAAAAAGGCTGCAGGGACATTTTGCATCCTGACTGTCCATCCTTTAATAAAGAATTCAATAAACTGTCTTCAGGAGGGCAGAGCAGAGTGGTGGAAAAAGAATTCCACCAAACTAAAGAGACTTAACTTGTGTTTGAATTCTGGCTTCACAACCAAGTGGTGAGACCTTGAGCAGTTACTTAACCTGTCTTTGAACTTCATTTTGTCTCATGGAAAATGGAGTTGGTAACGCATATCTTATTCCAGTGTTAAGACTAGACTCACTTTTTTTTTGAGAAAGAGAGAGAACAAGCAGGGGAGGGGCAGAGGCAGAGGGAGAGACAATCTCAAGCCAACTCCACGCTGAGTGTGGAGCCCAGTGTGGGGCTTGATCTCATGACCTGAGACCATGACCTGAGCTGGAATTAAAGAGTCAGATGCATAACTGACAGAAGCACCCAGGCGCCCCAAGTCTAGATTAACTTTTAAATCAAATTAAATGCAAGGCATTAGATATGAAGCACCTAGTATAGTACCTTATGTCAATAGGACTGAATAAACAATAGTGTAACTATCAGAATACTGTTAGCATCTCTGAAGAGAGAGGACCGATTCTGGGAATTTGGTAATCAGATCGTTTTGAGAGATTGATGGGCAAGGTCAATAAGACTTAAGGAGAGATGGTCCAAAGAAGAACTGAGCTGTGTGGGTTAGTAATACCCAACCAGATAGGAATGGGAAAATGGATTTGTAGGTTTAATTTTTGTTTTCAATCTTAAAAAAAAAAAGAGATTTTTGATGATGTGTCAAGGAAAATTGGATTTTTCCACAGGTCAAGGGATCTGCCTTCCCCTGGGAAAGAGAATTGGCCTCGTCTGGTTGTTGGCCACCTTGAGTATGAACAGCCATTTCACAAATGTTTGCTCTTGGCCTGTGGGCACTGGACGGGAGTGTGGTTGGGTCTCCACGGCAGGGAAGCAGTGGGAAATACAGGCTTTCCTACAGGGGGGCTGGTGGTTTGTTTGTTTTTTTCCCCTGTAACTGGAAAGACAGTTTCATTGTTACAATTACCCTTACTATTTTGTTATGACTGCTTATTTTGCTTTGGGGAAGTTGAGGAAGAGAGTGAGCTGCATTCACATCTCTTCAGATCGTTGGACTTTGCTAAGTTGTTGTGTTTGGAGGATGCAGTTCTAGACCAAACCTGAGTTTGCACTCAGTAGACCTCATGCTCTGAAGCTAAAGATGAGAGAACTAAGGGCCTGGTATATTTTTACATGTTTCTCCAAATGGGATCGTTTGAAAAGTATCTGTGAAGGTTATAAAGAAAAACGATAAAGTAAAATTGTGGCTGGAGAAATGCAAGGGAATACGCTGAAGGCAATATGGTTGTAGAAACCTTGACTGGGGAAGAGACACTTAGCAAGAAGTGAGGGGGAGATGTCTGTGTGAAGTGGAAGCTGTGGGCAAGGTAGCCATGACCCCCAGACCCACCGGAGGCTTTAAGAAGCTCTTCTTTGTGGAGGACAAGGAGAGTGGCCTGGTATTTAACAGTCCTGCAGCCCTTTTCTTGAAAGAATGCAATCTTTTCTTATCTACGTGTGACAATAGTACGACTGTTATATTAAGTACTTTTATATTAAATATTTTTTATGTGCCAGACTCTCTACATGGATTATTTCATTTAATCCCCACACACTGACCGGTTATCAGGTGGGTAGGATATAGTGGAAGCAGGACCCATGCTCATGGCTTTTAACTCCAAGTCACAAACCCCCTTCTCAAAGAGTTGATGGTCTGTTTTGGAGCTAGGATACACACAAATGAAGAGGGGTTAAGAGAGTATATGACAATGTACTAAACCAGAGGCTGGAGGAGCTGAGAAGAGTTGCTGATTTGAGCTAAAGTCATCCCAGAAGGAGGAAGCGCTTGGGCTAACCATCAAAGGGTCGGTAGGGTGCGGTAGAGGAAGGAAAGAAGGAGCAGAGGCAGAAAGGCAGGGAAAAGAAATGCGACTGAGTAGGGCTGTTTAAGTATAAGGCACTGGGCTAGATATAAATACAAAGTGAAGGAAAGGCTCCTGCCCTCAGGATTTTCCAGCCCCTGGAGGCAGGTAGCTCTGGACACAGCCTACCACGTTAGATGTTCTGTAATACATTCTGTACTGAGGAAGAGAAGGGCTTTCGATCTGAACATGAAATTTCCAGGAAGTATTGCTGAGGAAGCAGGCAGCATTGATGAGGGACGTACAGTCGACTTTTTGTTGGGGAGGAATGAATGTGGAGATAGGGACAAAGGGCATTTGGTGTGAGCGAAGTGCAAGGCAGATTTTGGGAATGGTGAGCTCTGGTATAGCGGGAATACAGATTAATCAGGGGAACAGAGGAGGTTATGAGGCCGGAAAGACAACGAGGGAATGCCCTGCAACAGAAAGAACAACTGGTCCTGGGATGGCTTCCTCTCTATCCCAGAATACCGGTGACTCAGAATTTTCATAAGAAGTTGGGAAGGCCCAGGGTCGCTCAGTGCACCCATGGAGCTTCGTTCGCAGTGTTTGGCTGAACTTCCTCTAGCAAGGACAGGGTGGGGCTTCTCCCTTCTGAGGCAGGAGGTTGTGTAATCCCACTACTGACTTCTCTCGGATAAAGGAATACCGACACCTTTCTTAATACTTTGGTTCCTGGTTTCACTTGAGTGTCTCACAACCATGGAGCTGTTCAGGCTTGATCCAGAAATGAGAAGTCAGTAGTAGAGAACACCGAATCTTCAGGCCATAAAACATAAAACACTTATTACATGGGGCCAGCTCCAAGGCCTATCCATCGCAGAATTCTGCCTCCAACTCAGTTGAAGAGTTAAGACTTCTTTGGCTTATGATTTATCTAAAGATTCTCTACCAGTATTTTTGGAGCATGCCTCTGGGCTTGGCACTGGGCGAAGAAGCCCTTTATGTGGATGGCCTGGTTCAATCTGTTCATAAATCCTTTGAATTTGTGAGATTATAGGCCCCCTTTCTCAATAAGGAAATGGCACGTCACCCAGAGCTTTATGTTGTAGAGCTGGGTGTGACCCTTGTGTCCAGCTTCAGAACCTGAGCTCCCCTCCACTTATAACTCAGAGGTTAGGGACCATCCTCATACAACCAGTCCCCCATTCTACACTCACTGTCAAGAGCCTGTGTGTAGGAGGGCCTTGAACCTCACATAGCAGCATGCTAACAAGGTCTACCGGCGTGCCTTAGGCATTTTGGGATCCCTCAGTCCCAGTGGGAGAGGTTGCCTTTCATGCGATCCCCATTTCCAGCAGCATTTTCAAACGGCATATGTGTCTTCCCCAAGGTGAGAAACCATACCAGTGTGACTTCAAGGACTGTGAACGAAGGTTTTCTCGTTCAGACCAGCTCAAAAGACACCAAAGAAGACACACAGGTTTGTAGGCTCACTTCTCATTGCTGGCAGTTATGTTCTCTTGGGTTGCAGTTGATTTTGTGATTTTCTTTGTTGTTGAATGTGGATGTGAGAGGGTTAGCCATTTGCTTAGCTTTTCCCAATCATCATGTTCCCCCCCGCCCCCGCCTCTGGAGATTTTCCTTTTCTGAAGGAAAAAAAGGCAAGGAAACATCACACATTTCTCCTGCAAACCGCAGAACAGTGGGATCCCAGTAGCCATGTGTTGATGATACACTGAGTAGCGGTGAAGACCAGGGTGGTGGAGAGCATGATCCAATTTGTAGAGTGTGATTCACTTTTTCAGTCTTGGACACAGCCGAGACTCTGGTGGAAAGCTGGACGTTTGTGGTTAAGGAATAGTTGTTCCCCAGACAGAAGCAGGTCATCTGGGATTACTGTGCAGAATCACGTGGTCTGTGCCAGGCCTGGGGCATGGGGGACATCTGAGGGAGAGGCAGACATCATCACCAGGGGGCTGGAAATGCCTGGCTCGTCCGGCCACCTCCAGGAAGCTGGCCCCGGGGGCCTCATTATGCTCCCACATTGTTAGGGCTGCGGCTAGACCTTCTCTGTCCATTTAGGTGTGAAACCATTCCAGTGTAAAACTTGTCAGCGAAAGTTCTCCCGGTCTGACCACCTGAAGACCCACACCAGGACTCATACAGGTAAAACAAGTGCGTAAACTTTTCTTCACATTTATTTTTCATTATTTTTTTTAAAATACTGTTGAATGAAGTTGTTTGTGATGTGAGAGATTGGAAAAGACGAGTGTAGAAGTTCTGAGAACTGTGCATGGCTGTCTTTAACTAATAACATTGTTTCAGAAGGGTTGGGGTGGGGACCACAGAGCAGAAGGGAGATGTGAAAAGAACACTCTTTTACTGCGTGTCCAGAATGAAGGGAGGAGATGAGCTAGGTCCCCACTGTTACCAGTTTGCTACATTATACTGTGTCACTCAGTTTGATTGGATCATCAACTTTACAAACAGCAGAAATTCTCGCAAGCCAAATATTTATTCTTCGGAGAGCTCACATTTCATGACACTATTTTCAGAGACCTGAATCCTTGCTGGGCTAAAAGTTAATGTCCCAGGAGCAGACATGGTTTCTGCCAGACTCATATCAGCCTATGGACATTATTTCCTTTGTACTAGTATAGAGAGGGGAACAGGACACTTATTCACTGGTTGCTGAAAGTTTTTGCTTTTCCGCAAGCTTGGTGTGATTCATAACAAAAATAGCACCACCTTTGTTGTGTATTTTCTAGCTTTGGAAGGAGGGCCAAGGCTTAGGGTTATCTCGCTGTATCTTTGCAACATCCTTCCTTGTAAGAAGAAGAACGTAGGCATGTTTTATCCCCATTTTTCAGATGAGGAAACCGAGGCACGTAGTGATGAAATGACTTGTCTACAGTCCCAAAGCTAGTAAGAAGCAAACCCAATTCCTTCTGCTCCCAGCCTACCCTGTCCTACAGCCTTCTTTCTTGGTGAAAGAGCGTAGGTTCATCTCACAGCCCAGGGAGGATAGGAATCAGGAAGAGAGCCAAGGTCAGCAAAGCTGAGTGCCATTGAGAGACTGAGGAGAGTGAAGACCAACAGGAGAAAGGGTTGGGCTTTGTCCATTGGAAGATGACCTTTGACAGCATGGCTGGAGGTTGGGGTGGACGGCCAGGAGCCAGATCAGGAAGAGCAGAGGAACAGTGAGTGGGAGGTGAGGGAAAATACGAGGTCATGAGCCCCCATGCAGCTGCAGATTCTCAGCCCGAATAGGCTGCCATTTATAGACAGGGTCAAGGTACCTGTGCCCCAGAGTTGGTGGGGTGGGCATCTCTTTTGCTCTACTCAGGTGCCTCTCGTGTTTCTTCTTTTCCTTAGTCCTGAGCTCATAATTTGGTGAGAAAGTTATCGTCCCTTTTATCCTGCCCCCCTCCTCCTCCAACCCTATGCGTATCTGTATATGCGCAAAATGGCCCATGTCACTGGCAGACTGTTTTACCCTATATTTGATCAGCCCCCTGTTCTGACCCTGGGACAGCGCCTCCCCTGGGACATTCCTCCCTGTGTGTCCCAACCAGTAGTTCTCAGAGGAGGCAAAGTGGGACCAGTGATACCCTGGGAAGATCTCCCCGGTGGAACAGACGTTGGCTCCCGTGGCATTCTTACTTCGGATTAAGCCACAGCTCGATCTCCGTAAGGGCCAGGCCTGGGAGGTGGGGTACGGCCGAGGGCGTGGGCTTTGGAATAGACAGACCTGGATTTAAGTCCTGCTTGGATCTGCCCTCACTAGCGGTCTAGCCTCATCTCCAGAGTGGGGATACTAATGCTTGTCTTACAGGGCTGTTGTAGGGAATACATGAAATAATGTATGTAGATGATGCCCAGCACACAGCTGGGCATATATTAGGCATTTCATAAATGCTGATTATCCTCCCTGTCCAGAATGAGGCTTGGAAGGAACTTCTGAGAGCTCCTTGGATGGAGTGGTCTCGATCTTTTGGCAGGCTCGTTAAAAATCTTGAAACCAAAAAAGAAAAAGAAAATCTTAAAATCATGCCTCAACTCGAATGGGGATTATGCTCTGAGTAACACTTTGAGGTAAAAGAAGCAAATGTCCTGCAAACTGGTATCAGTGACTTATTCTAAAATACCCAGCCCATCCAGAATATCTCCACAGGCAGAGATATTAAAGCTACGGTCACGCTCTACTACAGGAGGGCAATCAATCAGTAATATCCAGGGTGATGATCCTGAGCCCCTGCGGCCCAGTGAAGCTCAGTTCCCTGGGAAGACAGTGCAGGGGAAACATTCATGCAATTCACAAAACAGTCTAACAGCAAAGGGTGAAACAAATGTTTTCCCCTCCATTACATACAAATTGCCCAGACACTTTGATTAACTAGACTCATTCCTGGGCGCCTGGGTGGCTCAGTCGGTTAAGCGACTGCCTTCGGCTCAGGTCATGATCCTGGAGTCCAGGGATCGAGCCCCGCATCGGGCTCCTTGCTCGGCGGGGGGTCTGCTTCTCCCTCTGACCC